TCAGCCAAGCACTGCAGAGAAAGTGATGTGAAGGTCATGTTGTATCATTGGGACTGAGTGGATCTGCAGTAGCTGCCACTGAAAAGGTCCTGTCCCCACTTGTACCTCCTTTTACAGCTGCCAGGACATCTTGGCTCCTCCACTGTCCTACTGTCACACTGGTTTGTGTTTATTACAAAGTGTAGTAAAAAAGTACACTACAAAGTGTAGCCCTATTCAGGGCTATTCTTCTGTTACCTAGGTGAATTAACTCTGCAGAGGAGCAGATGACAACTCCAGATGGTGCATCTCCGGTAGGGGAGCTCACATTTCAGCTGTGGTGGGGCAGTAGCTCAGTGCAAAGAATAGTACGTAACTTCCCCCTAGATAAGACATTTGTGTAGCATGAAGAGACTAGCAGGTTTTCTTACTAAAACCAAATAAACTGAATAAAGAAATCTGGGCTGATGGCAAGACAAATGCCTGCCACCAGAAATTTCACCTTGGTGAATGTGAACAGCAGCCACCTTCCTCTAATCGAAACTACAAAGTCATAGCGGGCGAAACAGCTGGATGGGAGGAGCTGGAAGAACTGCCTTGCAGGAAGGTAAGAGGTCTGAGAGGTCCCAACCTGACCCTCTGCCCCACACCACCTTCAGAGGGGACACAGCCTGCAGGATCCATCCCCAATTTGGTGACCTTGGCCTCCCCTCTCTGGCTGCAGAATTTTCATTGCATTTTCCACTCACATGTCTTCTCTGAAAACACCATTTTTAAGAGCTACATGACAATTAAATTCCCAGGGTATATTTCTCTATTTCTGATGCTAATATAGAACAATGAGGTCTATAACTTCTCATTGATGTTATAGAAAACATTGTGTGCTTGTATATTAAAAAATAAAAATAAAAATTACCAACTGTATTAGGGGGAAAAAACCCTAAGTCCTCCAGGAAAGAAAATCTATACCATGTAGCTCCAGACACAGGACCTGGTTGGTGTGGGAACAATGGCAAAAAATACTGATTCCCCAGGATCTTATTTTTGGCAACCCATCCCCAAGATGATAACATATTCTTTCATTACGTTAATCAATCAAACTAATCTGGCTGTTAATATTTGGCAGTCAATGCTGCAAAGTAGACTTTATTCTGGGAGTTAGCTTTATCCTTTCATATCCCCATATGATAGATATAGAAATATTAATGTTATTGTTAATTAAATGCTAATATGCTCTGGCCTACTAATATTCTTCTATTCAGATATCCTAACAACTAAGTTTACTAACATCCTAAGCTGAGAAGTAAATTAATATAGTACATCATTAGTTGCAACCAAGTTAGCAGAAAACATCATCACTTCTCTTAAATTAGCAATAAGCCATTGTAAATTTGCTTCTATGGCATCAAAAGCACCTATGCAAGTCTCCCAGAAGACTAATTAATTTATGTGACAACCTTCTGCATTGTTACTAGTTAAAAGCCTTGATATACATTAGAATAAAGACATACAGGAGCTTTGAACATTGAGGGGTAGAGTGTGTGTTTGGGAGGAGGGGTTTATGTGTTCTCCCACCTAGCTCTCTAATGCTATGGGGAGGGTTTCCCTTGTAGATTATGAACAGCATCTCTCTGAAGGCTTTGGACTCAGTTTGACAGCAAGGGAGGGAAGGGAGGGAAGGGAGGACAAGCCAAGACAAGTTTTTCCACATGCTGCCTATAATCCTGTTTGAAGCCTGGTTGTAACTTGATGAGCTATGCCAGGAATAGAATAGAATAGAATAGAATAGAATAGAATAGAATAGAATAGAATAGAATAGAATAGAATAGAATAGAATAGAACAGAATAGAATAGAATATTTTTGTATAATAAAGTGCTTCAAATATCATGATATCATCCCCTTCAACAGCTGTCCTAGAGAAAGCCCCATCAGAGCAGGCTGGACCAGAAACACCTTAAACATTGTCACCTGTGAGCTTCAGTTTGCCATACTTGTAGACAAGTAAATGGCATTTATCTGCCTTTATAGTGCTTTTGAGACCATGACCTCATTATGGACAATTGCTAAATAACTTATTTTTAACATTAAGTTAGCATCTAATGACCTTCTGAAAGGATGCTCAACAGCTGTGTGAGGGAGGAAGAACTGCATACATGAGTACAGGTCCAAGTTTGTCTCCACGAATAAGAAGAGCAGAAAGAAAATACAGTGAACAGAAAGTATTAAGTTTGGCCAGTTCAATTAAGCTGGAGTTTGAGGACTGTCAGGCAAAATAAGCATGATATGTTTATTTTAAACATATCATAAGATATGTTTAAAATAAAATTAATGAGGGTGAACAGCATGAAGAGGCTTCACTCTTCAGTAAATCAGCCTGCAGCACCACTTTCTAAGATGCCTGTGCTAAACAGCATCTCCCAACACACAGCAGGGCTGAAAGGAGAAGGAAGGTGCTCCTTGCAGCAATGGCAGCAGCAGCCCTGTCCCTTTCACCTGGAGCTGTCTATTTGGGCTGTTCACAGGCCACAATGCATTCAGACTAAGCTGTCTTGATTTACTGACTTCTTAGGCCAAAACAGAGTCTCCAAGGAGCAAGGATAAGGACTCAGGAAATAAAAGTTGCATTTCTATGTCTGTAATTGATTGCATTTGGCTCTAGCTGCATTGTTGGGATTGGCTACATCCATTCCTCTAATGGGAAGTACTAACAATAGTGATGGTTTGAACAGCTCAGATATTAATAGCATAACTGATATGGTAGTGTCTCCTAACTAGAAATAAGGTTTAAATATGCTGAGAAGGGAAGTGAGCACCTTTAGAGGAAAGAAATTCAGTCATTTACACTAAGAGTGTTCTGTGATTGCCATGGGTTACCAAGGCTGCAGACAAGCCTGTGTACACAGACCTTCCTACAGCTATTTTGTCTTCTATAAACTTTAAGAGAAACATAAAAGCTGATAGTTTTAATGCATGCATAAGCTACCAAAGGAAGCAACCCTATATTTAAGGCTGTCACCAAACAGACAGAGTAACAGACAATTTTGTCAGCATGAGTTTTTGAGCATGATTTTTGAGTATGCTCTTGATGGGAAACAAACTATTTTCCTCTTCTACGGGGCTTGCCATCCTGCAGAAAGGGCAGGCAAGAAGACAGCACAAGCCACTAGTAGGAAAACATTCAGAGGCAGCCATTACTCCCCACCCTAACAAATCAATGTATCTATTTTAACTTCTCTGAGGTTGTTCTGCCCACATGAATCTCCAAAATAAAACTACCACAGTTCTACGACTAAGGCTGAGCAGTACAAAACCATTAGATAAAATGGCAGAGGGGGACAAAAAAAAAGTATTAACTGTTACCACAGAGGGAAAATCACTGCCTTGGATGGAAGGAAATTCTTCTGCTTTCACCTGCATTGTTTGTACTATCACACAGTGTGTGTTGCTGTGACATTCAAGTGCAGTTATAAAGCCATTCCTCAGATGTAGAAATAGATTTGTCTGTGGTACTATTGGATTTATAGGGGAAATTAGAGAGGTGACCTTTCTCCCTAATGAAATTTCTGTTAAAGGCCTCACTTTGGTAGAAATGTTACTCTGTTATTGGACAGCATTTCTGGTGAGGGAAGGGGCAGAGTGATACAGCAGGCACCTCCAGGCATGTGGCTTTTAGGGGCTGGAAGCAGCATGTCTGAGACTGCTGTTGCCCATGATCAAAGACAAAAACTTTCCAAATGGTATTAAGAGTGCTAATATAAAAACCAGATCTTTAATGAAAGTTTTCAGATGCACAAAGATGGCTCTGCACACATGTACAATTGATTTACTACAAATTTTATAAGGTTAATTAATTAGTGTATCTAGCAGATACAGCCAATAAGAGACCAGTTGCCCCAGCAACCCACCCTTGGGGTCTGCACCTTGGAGTTCTTCCAGGGATTTCTTTGTCCTTTTTTCTTGTTATGTCTTCTAAGTTCTAGTGCAAAACAGTGTCCTTTTTAGAATTCTTCTTCTTGAAAATAAGACTGAACAGAATTTCAGGAATGTGTTAGAAAGGGTTAGCTTGTTGTTCTAAAATGTGAGAGAAATGCCAGGAAAAGTACTAGAAGCTATATAACTATGTATTAACGGTATACAAAACTGCAAGTATATGAAAAATATATGACAAGTAAAAATCTTCAGGCATCACTGCTGGGTACTTCCAAACTGAATTTTAAGAAAGGGCATGCATTGTCATCTTGTCAGCAAAGATGTGAGATGGATAAAAGCTTTTTTGTTTGCACAAAAATCAACTAAATGCTGTTTTTCTCATTTCTTGTCAAGACACGGAAAGGCCAGCAAAAATGAACAGGGTTTGTTTTTAGGAGCAGATTTTGTATTAGTGTCATTATGAATCAACGCTTCATTCTACATTTCTTTGTATTAGGTCCCACACATAATGTAAATGTAAGGGTAACTCCTCCCCAGCTCCTCCCAGCACTCCCAGCACTCAGCCCAAGCATTGTTTGGACCAGGTTTTCTAATCTGCTGGAGGAGTGCTGGCACCCATGGCTATGTCCCAGCACTCCCAGGGCTGCTAAGCAATGGACATGGCCTTTGTTGGTGTGGTTCTTGGTAAAAGGGGGCAAATCCCCTTCCTCACCTTCAGGAAAAGTCACTTAAATTCAGGTCTGGCTTTGGAGTGCTGGGATACCATGGCAACATTAGTCTTCTTAGGGAATAGAAAAACTTTTTGATTCAAGGAGGGCAAATCAATAATTCAGGTTTGGAAGGTGCAAATGAGAGGTCAAGTGAATCTGTGCATGTGCCAGGAATGTTCATCATCTCCTGGCATTCTTAAAAACCTTTCTTCTTTTCCCTGAATCTGCCACAACAGCTCTGATAGTGATGTTAAATCAAACCAGTATTTCTTAGATTCCCCTACCTAAGAAGTGTATTTCGAATTATGGATAATGGTCAGACTCAATTAAAGTTCTCAATATTAGGGTATTTTCTAACCTAAATAACTATGATTCTGTGAAGAGGAGCCTCAGCTGTGTCCCCACACAAGTAGCAGCTGAAGAAGTTTTTGCTGCTGAAAAGCAAGAGCTGGGGCTGTAGCCAGGTGAATTTGGTAGCTAGAGTGCATGAAGGAACTGCAGTGAATTACCTGAGGAGACAGAAGGTGAGGTAAACAACACCCAACCTCACGTGTGTAAGCTGAGGTGAACTTTGTGGGGGACTTTGCTCTATGGAATGTCCCTAAAAGGGCTCAGCAGGGGCAGGTGCTGCTGGGACTGTGGCAAAGCAGCTACTAATCCTCGCTGGCTGTTTGTTACCGAGTGTGTTTTGTTGCCGGATGTCGATGAAGCTGTTGTTAAACAGGGGCAGCGTAGCACAGCTGCAGGCGGCCGTGTGAGGCGGCAGGCCCGAGGCCGGGCCCGCGGCCCGGGGCCGCCTCCCCCACACCAGCCCGGCTCGCTCGCATGTTCTGGCCGCCACCGTGAAGGTCAATGCCGTGAGGTTTAGGCAACAGACCTGCAGCTTTTGAGTACTGGAAATTTTAATTTTTTTTTTTTTTTTTTTTTTTTTTTTTTTTTTTTTTTTTTTCACGGTTCTATGCATTCATTTTCATTCTCTACCTTTTTTTCTTGGAGATCTTCTCTTTAGGGCTTCTTACTGCCATTAAAAAACATTTCTGCTCGGGTCCCAAAAAGAGATCCACTAAAACCATACTGTGTTTTGTAAGAAATTTACTTGGCCCTTGAGGTTTTGCTTAAAAGCCCAAATCTTTTTGTGCCGTGACATGTTTAATTATGTAAATCCTTCCCCCAGAAGCATTGCCATAATATGAGCTGGATTATGAGGTGCCAAATACAATGGTTAGAACAGAGATGTTTTTGTGTTTTTTTTGTGGTGGTGGGGAGGGTTATGCATTAATAAGTCAAGCTTTTCCGTAACCTTTCAAGAAAGTATATGAAGATAAGCATTATGTGAAAGTGATTGTTGTGGTATATTTCTGTGTTCTCTGGATGTGAGACACATGTAACCCATTGAATGAAAGTAAGTAGAAAAAAGAGAGTGATGCTTTTACAATAAGTGGCTATATTCCTTATTTTTTATTACTTCTGTCTTTTTCACTTCCTTTCTTTATACTTGGCGTAGGATGAGAATCAAAAGTAAAATTACTGTTTACAGCCTCTGCATTCCGTAAAATGAATCCATGAATGATTAAACAGTTTTTGTGCTGCTTGCTTTTTAAGTGGGAGTTGTGAAATAAAGCAAACCATAGTACTGCCATGTCACTGAAGCAGGCTGCATGAGTACCTCACTCTAGCAGAATATGTTCTCTATTTAAAATGCCTGTCTCCATGTAATATGATGAATCCCTTAAGAACTACCTTCTGCAGTTGCTCTGTGAATTGCACTCCTACTGGAGTCAAGTACATCCAGGCAAATTGGATTATTAGCTGGAGATAAATGGGCCCAGGGAGCACTTAACTGCAGGAGCAATGATGCTCTTGCCCTTTAGCTAAGTGTAAATGCTGGCTCTTACAAAAGCAGGAGGGATAAAGGAAGGAGGTTTTAGCTCTGAACATTGTCTTCTTCTTTTCAGAGGCTCTGTACTAGCTCTAATGGGATGAATCATAAACCTTTACATACATCTAGAATGAATCTTTAGTTTTGAGCACAATGAATTTCAGAAAACGCTACATTCTCTATACTGATTTTGAAATAAAAGGGGCATTTTAGCTTTGTGTTTAGGAGAACCTCCTTAAAATGATAGTTAGTTTAATTGTATTGTAGGTGTAACACGTGTGATCAAGGCTAGCTGAGAACAGTTAGCATGCTTTGTACTTCCAAACCTTACAGTGGTATTTTTAGAGTATGAGAAGATGCAGCATGGAAACAGCTGGATTTATTTGTTTGCTTGCTGTGTCATGGTGGTGAGATGTGAACCCATACAGTGTGGTCAGCAAAGCCTGCAGGGAACTGAACTGCAGTGGTCGTGGCTGGCCTAGGTGGGGCTGAGGAACATAACACCCTCTAATGGGCAGAGCAAACAAGAGAGGTTTTTTTGTTGGTTTTAGCTTTTATTTTATTATTCCTGAGCACCTTGCTTAACTCTGAAAAAAGGGGAACAGATGCAGATGTGGTAGGTCTTTAGGAAAAAAAATACAAATTGGGAAGAAAAATTAATTGGAAGAATAAATTATTTTAAAGCTTTCTTTCCTGTAAGCAGACTTGAAATAACCAGTGAAATACAGGAAAAAATAACCTATAAAACACAGGGAAATATGAACAGAATAAAGTAAGTTCTTGGGAACAAAAGACTAGTGTGGGCTATGGGGTTATAACTGTTGAAGCTGTTAAGGCTTATGCTCACCAGAAGGCCCTGTGGGAAGGCCCAGCTGCAGGCTGCATGGTTGGAAGTGGGTTTGGGGTTGGGAGGCAGTCATGGCTCGTGGACAGCAGCGCTGCAGCTGAGCCAGCCAGTGGGTGCCCTTCTTCTGTCAAGTCTGGGTTTGTCTGGTTGAGATTAAAGGTATAAAGGGGGGTGATTTCTACAATAAAGTGATCTCCTTCAGATGCATAAGGGGGTCTGTGTCTCTTTGTTCCCCATTGCTACAGACTACAATGGAGGGTAACCAGCTGTTCCTTTAGAAAAAAGGAGCATCTCCCTCATTTGGGAGAAGAAGGAAATGAATGATTTCTACAAATGGCAACGTAAACCAGTCATATTTAATGTCATCAATACCACCTCTCCTGTCAACAAAGGTCACCTCAGAGGGTCAAAGGCTCAAAGGGGCCTCAGATTTTGGTTGTTCCTTTGGTCAATGTTTGTATAGGCTCAGTTAGTATTTCTAATTTAAATCTATATATAGCAAGTGAAGGTGCATGTCCTGTCATCTTGGCTGGGAACTAGGGAAGGCAGATCTTTATACACATTTGTGGGAAGTTGTACATAGCAGAGACTGGTAATGTACATTGCTTAAAGAGAACTGGCACTTGCTTGTTTGCTTGGCTGTCCTAAAATAAGACTGAATGCACAGCAAAAAGCACATTATATCTCCAGATACTCCCCTCTGTGCAGGCAGAGCTGCTGCACTGGGAAAAACTGTTCCTGTGTCCAGCAGGAGCTATTCAATAAACAAAGAGATAAAAGACAGCGGTCTGACTAAGGTGTTTTTATTCCAATGTAGATGAGTGTCTATCCATCAAAAGGCAACCAGGACCTCTAAAAGAGCATTTTTTAAAAATTTTATGTTTAAGAACACTGTTTTGCTCCTTGGAGTGAGGAAAACTAACTCCAAAAATAGTTCTTACTATTGATTTACTTATGAGCTGGGTGCTTTTAACTACCCTTTGTCCTTTGGGATCAAGGATGTGGCTATTGCCATGTGCTTAGTGTTTTACAGAATGAATCATGTTTCCTCTCTTAGGATTTATTACAAATGCAAAGCACTTCTCAGCCTTATTATTGTGTCTGGGAGCTCTTTATAATCATCATGAGGTGGGCTGCACTGAAAATGCAGGGTATTATGAAGACTCATTGAAAAATACAGTATCTATAACCAATTTGAAATCATGCACATACGGTTATGTGTCATGTCCTCACCTCCCCACGTCCACCCCCAAAGGGAAATTTGAGTTAAATATATGCTTTGAAATACAATGAGAAAGAAGTTTGAGAAATGATGAGGCTGAGGCAAGCTCTGAGATTTGATGTCTTGAACAGGATCCCAGCCATGTGATGGGTGCACTGTGTAATGAATGCTCTGGAGGAGAAATACTGGCAGCCCTGCATGTCACTTGCAAAACTAAGAGCTGAGACAACATGAGGGTGCACAAAATTCTGTACTGTGTGAGGAGGGGCCCAGGCTGTCCTTATAGAAGTGTAGGGTTTTTTTTTGTCTTGCATATATTGTTTTGTGGCCATGGCAGTAAAAAAGGTGGCTCTGCCAGCATCTCAGATGATCCTAAATTAGCTCTCTGCTCCTTTTGACTCATCAAAACACCATGAGGAATCCAGCTGGCCTGTTAAAATAAATCCACTACAAGTCTGGACAGGCAAAAGGTAGCCAACATGGAAGTGATCATAGGGAGCTCCCTGTGTATGAAGGTCAAGAGACAGACATTCAGCACTACTGTGTTACATGCAGGAAGTGCGGTCTTTGCAGGTTCTGACATTACTGTACACAAAGGATTTAGTGTGGGGATCTTATCCCTTGCTTTCCAGACAACAAAGGATACTGAAATTTCGCTGCAGTAGGCAGGTGCTGCTTATGTGATCAGCTACCCTTACGAGGCACTGTACTTGTACATGTGTGATCAGCTTGTGTGCTGTGATATCCACCTGATCCCTAAACAAATCTCAGGTGGCTTGCCTGTTTTGGCAAATTGCTGATAAGACTGATTTCCCCAATGGTCTTGATTAGTTTCATTTTACTTTTTACAAGGTGATTAGCTCTAACATTGGGACAGTTGAAGCTTCTTGAAGAATATGGGATAGGACCTGCTTATGGGAAAATACAGTATTTAAATTTCAAGTAAAGCTTTTGTTCAAAAAGCTGGCTCAAGGGGTGTTGCTGTGAAATGTTGACTGATGGAGCTGGATAACATGATGGGGCTGAAGAAAGGTTCACAAGCTCTTTGTGTTGAGGCTGTGTGGAGATACAGCAGATGGAAATGGTGTTTCTGCTGACCTTCCACATGGCAGACACAAAACATAAAAACAAAACCAAATCCCCTCAGCTGTAGTTCAAACTACAGTAAGATTTTTTTTAAATGATTATACTGTAAATGGAGCAGACAGAGATGTAGCTCCCTCCTGTTTATAGTTTCTTACAGTTTCTTCACAGGGCAGCAAATGTGTAAGGACATTATTATATGCAGAACATGCCCATATCCAATCCTTGAAGTCCTGCTTCTCTAACCAACATACAAACAGCAATCTCTGTAATGCAGAATCTAGCAGGCAGGGGAGAAAATGCAGCTTGTGTGGATCACAGTAGCAAGTTTTATATTTAGACTTTCATTTGTTTCCATCAGTCCAGATCCTCTTAACTTCTGTCTGTTATTTCCCAAGGGCACAAGCAGATATTCAGCTGGTGATCAACCCTTAATGAAGATTAACATCCCTGCAGCTGAGATAAAGAAATTGCCTGCCAGTACCCAAAGATGTCAAGGTCAGAGAAGACTGCAGTGACCTAGGTAGAACATCAAGAGCATCTCTGGAAAAAAAATAATAAAATTGCAACAGGATTGTTTGTTCAATAAGACCCAGTGCAATTCTTGGTTAATTACATCCATGGTTAATAGCCCCCATGAGCAGTTCATCTTGGCAGGCTTGTCTGTGCTTCCATGTGGTTTTTATTCTGAACACCAGATTTTCCTTGTAAGTTATCTGGGAATAGTAGAGCTTTGTTATTCAGACACTAAAAATACTTTGTGAAACTTTTCCTTGTCAAATTAGGTGGATTAATTTCCTGTTTCCCCTCCCTGTCAAGTAGTTTTTTTTGGTTCTTGAATTAATCTCTTTAGGTCTTCTGTGAACTCTGCTTATCAAAATCTTTAGTGGGTGAGGGATGACAACAGCAGTGTGTCTCTAGGGATGAAATATCAAGCTGCCCCAGTTAATCCTGAACAAAAAATTTCTGTGAAATCCTGAAAGAACAAATTACATTGAAATAGCTTGTTTAATACTTGAAAGTGAAAATAATCCAACTGTTTAATAGTAGATTATTTTGAGTCACTTGCTTTAAAAAGGAAACAAAAATTGCTAAGTATTGCTCCTTAACAGTTTGAAGTTGTATGTGCTTGCCATATTCTCCCTGCCTGCATCATAACATGGAAGGACTAATAGAGTAGAAATAAAAGTATCACAGGTGGCATCAATGCCCTCCTGAAGTCTTTTAGGTAAAAGTAATAAAGTCAGAAGAAACTCTAGGGATTTGGTTTGTTGGGTTTTTTTTCCCCACAGGCTGTTTTGGTCTATCCTCCTACTTAGAAAGTGATCAGAGTAATAGAAATAAGGGGAAAAATCAAGACTTGAAAGGAAAGGGCATGGGTAGGTTTTGAAAGAAAAAGGAAGACAAGGAGTTAAACTTCCAGTGCTGGTCTTCTATCAGAGTATCTGAGGTCTTTCTGCCTAATTGCAAGGAAAATGCAACTGTGGAAAGGCAGAACAAGTAGATTATATTAGCATTTTGTAGGGGCATTTGTTTGTGGCAAACACTGAGGCTGGGCTGGCATGGGGTTTTGTGTTTCCTGGGGAGATAAGCATGAGTAAGATATTTGTGGTTTGTTTGCACTAAACATTAGACTCACATCAGCTGGCATCTGTTGTGGCAACAGATGTAACAGCTAAGAAAGTGAGAGAGATGTATTCCTCTTTGCTTTCCATGTGGCACACAGGGTTTGGTGATAGAGAACAGGGTCTCCATTAACCATAAAAGTTTCTGGAGATCTTAGCCTCATGTACCAGTGCTTTTGTACAGCACTGCCTACAAGCTGAAGCCATGACCTTATAAATCTCATCCTTGTTCACATTTAAGCAATTAAGGACCAGGTCACCAGCTGAAGTGGGATTTGCAGGGACAGGCACAGAGACTTTCACCAGTAAAAGTGCTGTGACTTGGCTTGTCAGACCCTGCTCAGGCCTGACCTATCCAAGCACACATGACTGAGCATTCTGAATGATGGGAGTTAGAAGAAATCACCTGAAAAGCTACAAATGTGGCTTTTGCTTGGCTGAAGAGCTGCCCTGACTTGGCCTCTGTAAGAGGGTGTTACCATTGGTTTTAGTGCTACTTCATCTGGGTCAACCTCATTATTGCAGAAACTCTATTTTTTATAATATTTCTTTTATTTGAAATGCAGCACGTTTCATACCACTCTAATTGTCCTAATAAGTCATATATAATCTAGCAGTATTACTCCATGTATGCTGTGTCAGTATCACTTGACTTGTTCCTGGCCCTGCTACACATAGCAGTTTCATATAAGCAAGAGAGAAATGGAGAGTAAAATTAGCTAGTGTAACCAATGAGCATTGAATAGTGCAAGACCATTAACTGATGGAATAGCAGGGCTTGCTGTCCTTAAAATGGCACAGACTGATGAATTAATATTGTGTCCAAAAGATGTGCTCACTTAGCATTTTAAATTTAATTTAAATTGATGTGATGCAAGTAACTAAGCTTGTTGAGATGAAATAGCTCTATTTTGCTGCTGTGCAAGATGGTCAGCTGCTTCATTTCAAGTGATGTGTTCTTCTAGTGGCAGTTATATATTGTTTCTGGATCCTTGAAGACAGCTCAATTGCCTGTTATTTCCAAGGTGATTTAGTCTGTTGGAAAATGTTTTGTTACATCAGAGACCTCTAGTGCATAGTCAAGCATTGTCAGTAATCAGAAACTGAGTAAGAAATCAAGGAGAAGAAAAATAGATACAAGCACTGTGATTCCAAGTTGCATCTCTAGATGACAAAGATCTGGAAAGCAACCAACATGGTTCTCATTCAGTGGAGGAGGGGAAAAGAGATTCAAAGTTGATACTGAAACATGTGTTACTAGACTGTTATTAATAATTTAGTATTTAGTGCTCAATTGTCACCCACTTCCATACTTTGATAAAAGCATCACTTCGTCTTGCTTGCAATTTCAGCTTTCAAAAAATTGAAATAGCATCTATTGTGTGCTGGTTCTGTCTTCAGTGGAGGAAGTGGATTTGATGTATTCAAAATGTTAATGACTTGCCTGTGTGTATGCAGATCTTTGCAGACTACTAATACCACAGCAGTTATTAGTGCATGCTTATTGAAGGTATAGGTATTTGACTTTCTTGGTGTTCAAAATGAAGCTGAATAAAAAATTCAGCTGGCTTATTAGAAAGGACAGCCAAAAGCTTTCCTTCCTGTGTTGGAAGTAATCTCAGTTGTAATTTGGAGAAATTATTTCAGGGACAAAGTATGGAATAAGACAGTGTAATTGTGTAGTGATGAAAATTGATTGATTTAAGAATGTTTATGAATGCTTCCTGAAATTGCCACTTAAACTATTGTTTAATTTTCACAGACATGTTGGAACCTATGCTTTACCTGAGTTTTGATTAAAGAGAAACAGATAAAAGCAGAATGCAAGAGAATTCTTATAGGTGATAAAACCAGGTTGTAGCAGAATTAACTTTGCATTGTGCAGGGACTTTTTTCCATGATTTCATGCAGCTTGTTAGACATTTCTAGTAAGCAATGGAAGATCCTGCAATACAAGCAAACTCTGTCACTTCTGATGTTTAGTTTCCAAAAAATGTCATGCTGAGGTTAGTAGCTCTGTGGAGCTCCCTGCTGTGTTAGTGGGCTGATGCTGTCAGGCTGGTTCGGGGCTCCCATCAGTTAAAGGAGCAATAGGCCTCTGAGCTGAGCATGAAGGCAGTTCAGGTCAGAAGGGAAACATTTTTATTACACAGAGAGACGATTTTGTAGAGGATAGGTTTGGTGGGATAATTGCCTCTTTTCTGTCTCTACCCAGTGGTGAAAGTGTGATTCATCTTCCCTGTTTTGAATGCTTCTCTGTCACCATCATGTCATTCAGTTTGGAAAACAAACTTGGAATTACATGCCTAACTTCTAGGCAGTCTAAGACAGGTGAGATGAACCCTACCTCCCCCAGCACAGTGCTAGTTCTGTGCAGCACAAGACAAGCTTTTTAAGCCCATGTCCTAGAAGGCTGAATTGCTGGTATCCCAGCTTCCTCCAGGAAATATCTGTGTAATAATACAGACAGACATCTCTGCTGTGCCTTGCAGCTATGGCATGGATTCTCTGCAACCTTTCCCGTAATGAGGGACTCAGAGGGTGGGAGGTGTAGCAGAGGAGTTGAGGGAGTGTTCTCAGCCAGGTGTGAGAAGTAGGACACAATCAATGTGTGCATGATCATGATCAGATTTATTGCTAGTACAGTATATAAATATTGCCAATGCAGCATATAAATAAAAGCTTTATCATCTATTAAAATGGATTATAGTGTCTGAAGGGTTATAAATATAAGGAGGTTTGGCTAGAAATGTGTAAGTTTACAATCTTTGCCTTGCAGAATTCTCAATTGTAAAGCAAGAGAGCAGCTATGTAGCTAATTCAAGATTGTACATCTGTATTTATCAAATTCTTAGTACTTTTAGTCACTGATCCAAAAGTGAGTGTTCCCTGTCTTCCCTGTTAAAGTCCACCCTGAAGTGCTGGTAGCTTCAGGATGGCTTGTCCTCAGGACAGCTGTCCTCCTGGGCGGGTAGATTTATCAGATCAAAGGTCTGTTCCAATCTAGCGAATCTGTGTGATTCTGTGTCTGTGTGTGACATCAGTTTTCCCAGATTGCCTGGTCTCCAGTGGCATTTTATATACCCTTTTGCAAACCAGCATGCACCAATGTTAATCCAAACATCACAGCTCCCCCATCTCTGGCATGCATTCACTACACGAGCATCCAGATCGTTCCTCCTGCAAATACCTGTCTGGTGTTTTCAGTTTAGGACAAACTGCATTGCCCATCAGAGTGGACAGGGGTGTTTGTGTGTAGGGGAGGAGACACCAAAGATCCAAAGATTCTTCACTATCTTTTTTTTTTTTTTTTTTTTTTTTTTTTATCACCATCATGGGAGGTCACAAATTAGACTGTCAAGCTGCCCTGGTTGTGTGTGTGAGGGTCTTGATGAGATGGGAAAGGGAAAGTCAGGCTGCCAAACAGATTGCATGAGGAAGTTACTCCCCTAAGTGAGAATGGTGTGAGTAAAAGCAAATGTCATCATCAGTGTGTCATTCTCAGACTGATCTGAGGAGTCTGTGATTTGTGGAACTGGGTTTTGCAGTAGGAAAGCATGAGAAAGTGGAACTGCTCTGGAAGCTATGACAAGAGCAAGAAAATAGGATGCTGAAACTGTAATGTTGGTTTGGGTCAGAAAGAGATTAGAGTCACGTTTTATTATACACTACTTACCGAAGATGAAAATCAAACTGCTGAATACCTGTACATTCATACCCACTTAAAGCAAACAGCCCTTTCAGGTGGACCTATGTGAAACCAAATTTCTCCACAGAGCTCAGAACTGGAATAATTAGGTCATGGTCAATAATTAGGTCAACTTTTCAAGCTGAACTGGAATCACTGGTCCCCATCAGGGGATTTCAGAGAGTAAGCTTATAGTTTGCATTGGTTTTG